GAATGCATCGGAAACGCGCTGTTTTATGTCTGCTGGTCTCATTGGAGAGTTCAGGACGATGTGTGCTAGGAGTCATGATATATGATCTGGATGTTAAATTGGCATGCAAGTTTGGAGAGACACATCACGTGACTGCAGGAGCTCTATCATGAAAGTGGATGCTTACCAATAGGATAAACGTTATAGATCGTTTGACCATTACCACATTTTCAGCAGCATACTGTCCTCATGTTGTTGTGATGTGTTCTTGCTTCGCATCCAAGATAGTTCTGTTTGTGATCTTTGATTATCGTCTTTGGCACTGATGATGTTCTGTGTATGTCGCATTGCATTTAATAACATATGTTTGTAAAAGGGAATCTTACAGAGGAAAAACGACTGTCATTTATTTCTGTTTCAGTCGGACAGGCATTCCACGTTATTAAATAATTCTGAATTAATATAAATGAATGATGTCTATGTTATAATTCCGCAAATTAGTTAAAAACAAAAATTAGATGTACATTATGCTCGGAGCCACTTGACCAATTCCTTGTTTTTTTCTCTTGATCATAGATGGCACAACATCTAATCTAAACACAAGGCCATGCACTTCTTAATTTTGTCATTTCACCTGAATTTAAACACATGTGAGATTTAATCAGTCTAAACAGATTTGAGGTTAATTAAAAATAAATTTGGTCTCTAGAAAATAGTGATCTGACATTGTATTAAGATACATATCAAGTTTTTTTTTGTCTGTTAGTTAGTGATTTGAGGATACATTCCTGCTAGATTAGTAGATGCATTTTATTTATTTATTTTTGAAGCAAGAAGATAAAATTAGACCCTTTTAGGGTGAGATGGCCCCTCAGAACTGGCACTTGAGTGGGATGTTGTTACTAGTGTTATTATTTTTTTAATAATATTCATAGAATACATTTCTATGCTGCTATTACCTGCCTGCAAATGGATTTCTTTGTGCAACTAACTACATCTGTAATTACATCTATAATTACACTGCTACAAACCTTTCCCTAAACTTACCCGTGCAAGCTTACAACTACACAATGAGTAAGTTGCATCAAACACTTAATTTTGATGCAACTAGTCAGAGACACCTAATTTGAAATTTCATGTTTTTACATTGCATTCGTTTTCTTTTTGTTCTTTTTTGTAGACATAATTAATTTGTTCGCATAAAGTACACATTGTAATTTACAAGTGAATCGGGTAATACACATGAATTAGATCAACTGGATAAATAAAATGATGATGAATATTAGCCGCTTGAAATTAGTTGCTTTTATGCTTGCGGTTATTTGGTTGTTACATAATTAAGTCTATAGCGGAGTGTCAATGGGTGGAAAAATAGGAGGACAAAGATTTTGAATAGATATTAATGTAACAGTAGCTCAAGAAATAAAAGCGTTATGTACAATCTTGGGCCAGTTTCCTTTTTGAAGCTATTTATATTAATACATTTGGCTCTTTTATTCAAAGCAACTTTGCATATAAGTTTAACATTTTACCAGTTTGTACTGTACATTCCTTGGTAATTTCACCCATTATGTTGGAGTTACTGCCAGACTCTGCTGTTTGAGCTGTAAAGAAACACTCATTAGACTGAACCTTACACAGACTTTCTTACCTGTGCTGTTCATACTGAGAACGCTCTGGCACCGGTGTGATGCAGTATAATGTGTCGGCCTGTAAAAGCGTCCGAGCACATCACGAGAGGTGATGGAGGTCAGTGAGGGTGTGTGAAATCCTGTCCTCTGTCATGGAGACACAAGCTAGTTTAGATACATATGAGCCGTGTGCTTGGATCTCAGGGAAGACATTTCATGTAGGCATTTTTTTTTTCTTTTTCCAAAGGCCATTTTAATATATAATGCGCTGGACAAAGGTGACAGCATTATTGCTTAAGGGAATAAATGTCTTCAGGCCAAAG